AAGTGACTTAGTATAGCTTATATGCTTAGTATAATTAGTTACCAAGCATAAACGAATATCACTATGGCAAGTATACTAATAACTAAATTGAAAGTTTTGTAATTACGTCAAAAAACACGTTTTGAGATTAATTTACCATAAAGAAAAATTAACACATACTGAAACCTTATTTAAAAGCATCAAATGCACTCAACATTTATTAAACTAATGTGTACCAAAATATATTGCTTTTGTAAAAATACAAACTAGATCAGGTATAACACCATTTTGTAAATAAGTTTTTTTTAAATAATGTTGATAAATATCACACAAGAGAAAAAAGAAACTTTATTACACTTTTTCTAAAAAGTAAACTCTCCCTGTATTCAACATCATACCGTCGCACTTATTCATACAACAGTTTAGTTTCTAAAAGTAAATCAATTTGTAATCAAAAAATCTTCTGGAAAATTTAGTTAAAAAATCTGATCCTGAATTTGAACTAGCCTAAACAACTATATAAAATCAAATCAGGGCCAGTTTAAGGAATTTTTTTGGTATATGCGAGATTACGGTTTGGCGCCCCCGTTTTAAAAAAAAATGTGTCCGTTAAAAATATTTGAAAAAATATATTCTGAGTTTGTATTTTGAAAAACTCCTTTCTCCGCTGGCCACTGACTAGGGTGCAATCTCGCACACCTTTCAATCCCGCGGGATCCGCGCGGATTTTTTAACTTATGTGCTGATCCCGCGGGATCCCGCGCGGGATTGGTAGATTTCTTATGCACGTTATAAAAGGCAAAATGATAATTGTATTTTTCTTTCAATTATTTCAGAAAAAATATACTCAACTTATTAAATTGAAAAGATGAGGCAAATGAAGCCAAAAACGCAATTCATTTGTAAATCAATATAATTCTTAATTTAATGAACAAAAGGATAAGATAAAAATACGCAAAACGTCTTTTAGCTTTACGTAGAGCGTCTTCTAGCTTTACTTATTTTTAAAAATAAGTATGAGAAAGTATCATTGTAAGAAATGCGCTCTTAACAAACAGACCCTACTTAAAGTATCATCACATAATCTACTCCTCAAAGGACTGCATATATAGCCAGCAGCTGAAAAAGCTCGCTCGGCCTCTACGCTTGTTGGTGATATGGTCATTAAGTAATTATGAGCTATATCTAGAAACTTGCCTCGTACTCCGTTATTTTCATAGGCAGACATTTCCTGCTTTAATAATTTATCAAAGTTTAAAGAATCTAGATTTGGTATCTCCTTTACATTTTCTGTCCAGCTTTTCTTGTCTTTCTGTATATGATTTTCCAATTCTTTTTTAAGCGATAGAATTGTAGGAGTAAGTATTTGGGAATTGTTAATAGAATCTACAGCTTCTTTTTTTTGAGTTCATTTTCTTCGTCTTTATTTCTTTTAACTGTATAAATTCTTGTCAATATTTTTTTTATTTCTTGACGCATAACGGTTTTCTTTAGCATTGAAAAAGTATTTTCGTTTTTTTTAATTTCTTGTTCATATTTTTTAGGATTTTGTAAGTAAACCTGTAGTCCATTTAAATTCTTATTACGACGTTGTGTAAACCTCTCACAAAGTGCTGCGGCTAAATCAATGCTCAAAAGTGATGATTGCTTTTGTAATTTATCTAACAAAAATTTAAAAGTTGTTTCCGCAGTGACAAGGTTCGATTCTCTCCTGCATAATAGTTCGAGACCAAGTTTTAGTGATGCCAGACAAATAATTAATTCATTAATTTGTGACCATTCATCTTGGGTCAAACGAATTTCTGACCCAACATCAATTAAGGCTTTTTCAATACACACTTTTAGTCTATGAAATCTTTCTAACATATCGAACATACTGTTCCACCTAGTTTTACAATCAAGAATCAACTTAAGCTTTTTGCCGTGTTCATGTAGGATATACTTCTGTAAATATGTATCATTTTTGACAGGAGAGTTTTTAAATATTTTCACAACCTTTCTCACTTTTTTCATGAGATCTTTGTAATTGCTAACCAATTCAGCAGATGGTCAGTCCAAAATTATTGTCAAACCATATTCTTTATTTATAATTTCATCATCATCAGTGTTCTCAAGTTCATCTTCTTCTTCGCAATTTTCATTTGTAGTAAACGATTCTTCGACTTCTCCGTTGTTTTTCTTTTATAAGATATCAATAACTGCAAGTTGTATTCCATGAGCATAACATAGTTGATGATAGCAAGACATCATTTTACCGACTTTCACCATCACATTTGCTCCATCAGTGGTCATGGCGATAATGTCTTTTTGGAGGTCGATATTGAAGCTATTTAGCCTTCGTGCAACTAACTTGACGCAATATTCTGCATTAAACAATTCATGGATTCGAATCAATCCAAGATTAAAGTGTTTTGTCTCCAAATGTACCTTTAAGTTAAGGTATCTCTGACTATCTTGTGATGCCCATTCGTTAAACGTTATTGAAAACTTTTGATTTTGCTTTTTTAGTGATATAAATTTTTGCATTATATCGGCTTTTACAGAATCTGAGAATTTTACTACCATCGATCTTATAGTATTAGGTGAAGTAGGGAGCCGAAAACCACTCTTTGAAAACAAATACCGCAAATCTGAAGATGTGCAAAAACTATTAAATGTAAAGCCATCTTTAGCAACCATGCGCGATACCATTTTTTTCATAGAAAGTTCTTTTACGAAAAACGTGTCTATTGTTCCGACCTTTTTTGACAGAATTACCTCTTCGTCTTCGCAGTCGATGTATATTTTAGACTCTAGTTCAACTGATTCATGCTGTTTTGAAGTTGGAGCTCCGTCTTGTTGTAAAACGTTTAATTTTAAATCAGTTCCATGTTTATTTTTTAAATGGATTAATAACCCTTTTGTTGATCTTTGACGAATTTTTAAAATAGCCGAACATAACATGCACTTCGCATTTTCTCCTTTATTAATTTTTTTAAAATAATTCCATATAGTTTTAATTTGCGACATGCTTAGTAGGTACTTTTGTTTTAAAATCTTGATGTAAATAATTTTTGAAGTCTTTTTAAAAAGTAGTGCGCTTTTTATTAATCACGTTTTCAATTTAACGTTTTCAACATACTCATCAACAAAAATTTCAATATATACTGATTAGCAAAATTTGAACGAGTTTCTCAGTATATATTTTATTGTGCATTTAATGACTAGTAAACTTTTAAATGAATTTGTTATGCAAATACATTAAAGACTTTAATTTGATATCTTTTTCGTCTTTGTTTATAAAATTGCTTTTTTTTATTTAAAAGCAATAATTTCAAAACTCAGCAAATCCTGCGGATCCCGCAAATCCCGCGGATCCCGCAGTAGTTTTTGCGGGATCTCGCATCCGCTAAAATAATGTGGGATCCCGCGGGATTGCGGGATCACGCAATGCGGGATTGCAATCTTTACCACTGATACAGCAAGCAAAAGCGAAATTTTCAATACTACACACACATTAAGAATGATGTCAATCAAAAAGTTTTAAAAATGTTGACAACAACAATGTTGTTTTAGGGAAGCTATCGTTTGGCAACAGAGCTAAGGTTTTAATTTCACCTAACAGTTTATTCCTGTTGACGTCACTCTTGCCATCAACTGTCAAAACAAAGTGCAAGTTTTTTCACTTTTCTTTAACTGCATTTCTCTCACATTTTTCTTTTTTTTTTATGTTATAGAGGAATTCAGAATGTTTCCTGCGATTTTCCAACTGTTCAAATCTTTCATTATTTGCAGTGACTAAAACTACAAAAAAGAAACTTTTAAAAATTGCCGACTTAACAAACTCATCTTCATAGTAAAATTGCTATTTGATCTTTTTTGGCTTGACTACAACTTCACCGGAGAAATTTAGATCAATACAGAGGCGTTTCAAAGGGGAGAGTAGGAGGGTGAAAAACTTCTCTTCCCAATGGGCACACGGACGTCCATAATACGTCCAAGGACGTCCACAATGGTCCATTCAAACGTCCAAAAGGAAGTTTGTGGACGTGCACTGGACGTACCAAATGCAATGACTTTCGTCCGTCTATTTTGCATCTATAAAGTACGACCAAGGACGTCCAAAACAGTCCGTTCGGAGGCCCACAATAGACGCTTTTGGATGTCTTACGGACGTCTAAATTTTGTCCGCTCATTCAATAAAAATGAAACAATAAAAAATGAAGTCTCAAGACTCCATTTTTTATAGTTGCTAGAAATGGAGTCGGTATGAGAATAAGCTGAATAAAATTAAACACTGAATAAAATTAAACTCCTTTTCTTTAACTTCCAACTTGTTTATACTTAAAGTTATTAATATATACAGGGGAAACTGGAGTATAATGGGATACTTAAGAAAAAGTCATCAAAAAACTGTCAAAAATAATTAAAATCAAAACAATTTTTGTTTTAAATGACAGGAGACAACATAAACTGCGATCTGACAAAAGAAAATGCCAATAACATTAAAGAATCCCAGTTCGTAATTACGCCATTCGCACTTATGCCAGTTATCACATATGCCAATTTGCGCTTATTCAGCCCTCCAAAATTTGCCCTATATTATAGTCTTCTTTTCATTTGGCACCCCTTGGATACCTGCCGCCCGGGAAAAACTGTCACTGGCCCCCTACCCTTCTAGGCGGTCTTGAATAGGAAATCCCTATTATTTAGCGAGGTAGTACCAGAGTTAAGAAAATTAAATAAATTAGAACCTTTTTTCTTTTAAATGTCATTTGTTCTATTAATACAAATTGCTAGTTTTGCAATTAAAAACAACCTAGTTTTAATCGCAGAACGGTCACATTCAATTTTATTGCTGCACTGTAAAAAAACTCCGTTGTATTTACCAGACTTTTTCCGTTGTTCAGTAACGGAAAAAAGCCGTTTCCAATAAATTACGGTCTTTTACCGTACTTTTAGGCCTTTTTAAATATTTTATATGTTTTTGTCCTTATTTATGATAAGGAGAAGTAAATTACGGACTTTTACCGTATATCTTAGTATACTTAAGTATTATCTCTAATTTACTGAGCGCCATTTTTTTTTTCACGAGAAGATATTATAATACACATTGTAATTTCAAATATGGAGAAATTATACAAATTATAATTTCAAAGTTAGATATTTTAATTTATTTATATATTTTTTAATGGAACTTAAATGCTACATGTTTTTCAAGAAGTACGTTCACATAAAATTCTAATTAATTTTGATAATCTAGTTATATATATATATATATATATATATATATATATATATATATATATATATATATATATATATATATATATATATATATATATATATATATATATATATATATATATATATATATATATATATATATATATATATATATATATATATATATATATATATATATATATATATATATATATATATATATATATATATATATATATATATATTATTATTATTATTATTATTATTATTATTATTATTATTATTATTATATATATATATATATTATATATATATAATAATAATAATAATAATCTCAAATAAATATACTGTCAATCATACTAGACCTCCTAGCCACGAAATTTTACTTTCATAGCTGTCTAAAATATTCTCAGACCAGTTAGCTGATGGCATGAGCTAGCAAACACTTTTGTGGCTGGCTAGCTGACTCATTTTTTTGGCTGCTTAGAGTGATGATTTTTATATTAAACGCTCACTACTTATTTTTTCTCTTTTAGAGTCCGACTTAAAGGGATTCTACTGTGTGTGTATATATATATATATATATATATATATATATATATATATATATATATATATATATATATATATATATATATATATATATATATATATATATATATATACAGGCTTGAAAGGAGGTTATGAATGATGTGATCATTGGTGATTTTCAGTCAGTCACCAATGTCACGAATGCACTAAATTTTAAAAAAGGCATTATATTATTTTTTAACCCAATTTTAGAATGTCTAACGCTGTGTCTTTATATATATGCACACACATATTTATATATAAATTGATGCGTTATGTTTTATTTTGAGTATTTGTTTATTTTGAAAGAATATAATATATTTTATGTCTAGTGTTTATTCTAACAGAATATATATATATATATATATATATATATATATATATATATATATATATATATATATATATATATATATATATATACATATATATATATATATATATATATATATATATATATATATATATATATGTATATATATATATATATATATATATATATATATATATATATATATATATATGTATATATATATGTATATATATATATGTATATATATATATATGTATATATATATGTATATATATATGTATATATATATGTATATATATATATATATATATATATATATATATATATATATATATATATATATATATATATATATATGTATATATATATATATATATATATATATTCTGTTAGAATAAACACTAGACATAAAATATATTATATTCTTTCAAAATAAACAAATACTCAAAATAAAACATATACGCAGAATCAATTTATGTTCTTACTTAAAAATATATATAATAAATGTTGTTATGTAATATAGTAATTTATTTATTTAATTCAAATAGTTAGGAAGAATTAGATGTACAATTGTAAACAGTGTGATTTTGCTCTACCTACTATTAATGCGTACATTAATCACTGTCGTTTACATTCTATGGAACCAAGATTCAGGGTTGCATGCTGTGTTTCTGGATGTTTTCAAAGCTTTTATACTTTTTGGAATTTAAAAAAACATATCTACCGCAATCATGGTCAAAATAAGTTTAATGCAAGATTAACTTATTTAAATAATAAAGTTATTTCATTGTCTTGCCAAGTTCCTATGTGTGGTGCGAAATGCAAGGATCAGACTGCATTGTTTATTCATTTAAATTACCATATTAGGGATGGTACAGCAATTCAATGCCCAATATGACAAGCATATTGGGTGGCTGCAAGATCATCACAATTTGCCCTCTTCGTTATGGAATGTTTATGAAATAGAAAGGCTACATTCTTTAACTTATCCTTCACAGCGTGCTGATATAGTCGGATTAAATGCACTGAAAATAGTATCGTTAGTGGCTAAATGGCCATTTCTATTTAAAGCCAATTGGTTTTTACATCATTTTAAAACATTAACTGGAGTTGACATAGCTTTTATATTTGAAGAAAATCTTAAAATTAAATCTACCATAATTGTCAAATTTTTGCAACACCAAAAAGAAATGCAATTAGCCATAAATGAAATGATATTAGCTGGGCAAGGTAATGTGTTAGCACCACTTGTTGCTGCAATTTTGGGCATTTGCCAGTTTTTTAAAGAATCTTCCAAGTTTTTGTTTCATCAGACTATGGTAAATATTTTTTCCATTGATTTTTTAAATTTTATCTTCCTTGATTGAAAAAGTTAATACAGTTTAATATATTTTGTGCATATTTTATCAGTAATATTTTATCAGTAATATATTTATGTGATGTTTTAATACTTGTAGGAGCATGCAAATGTGGATGATATTGAAAAGGACATTACTCTTCCACTTTCTCCTTGTATTAGTTTTGCTGGTAACATATCATTTTTGCTACTAATTGTTTAATAAATTTATTGAATTTATTTATAGATTTAGATTTTGTTTTCTTATTGTTAGGAAATTCCACATTGCTATGCTTGTTTTTCTAAAAAAAAAATTGAGAATTTTTGAATTTTTTTTGCCCATATAGGAACTTGCATATTCAAGTGTAATAGTTTTTACTTGGTTGTTGATCGGCATGTTATTATAAATAATCTTGCAAATCCTCTTTTGGCATTGGTTGTTCTTTTTGCTGCATATTATGTGTTAAATGTTGGCTATCCAGTAGAGATTGCTGCAACCCTTGAGTTTTTGCAGAGGTAAGTCATAAGATAATGTTTATTGACATTTGTTTATATAAATCTTTTTCATTACCTAACCTGCATTGTGTTCTCTAACTTTATCTACTTCTACCCTTCCCTTTTCTTCTAAGTCACTGCATCCTGATAATCTACTGTATGCTCTACATGTTCGCTTCACATACAATTTTTAAATATTTTTAAAATTACTTTCTTTTTCTTTATTTTACTGTAAATAATGATTTATTAATCTTATCTAATTATTATGTAGATGTATCATAAAAATAAACCCTGAAAAAAGAAACAAAATCGAAAAGAAGATTGGTAAAAAGCAGTATGTCGGACCTCACCCTAAAGTTATAAGTTTTGTTAACGAACTGGGGCTGTTTGAATGGACAGAACAGCAATAGACGAAAATACGCTTTGTTTTTATTTATTATAACTAATAAAATATATTTTCATATATATTTGTTATGTCTGTATTATAA